TTTATAATAACTTTTTATCATTTTTAACTTAACTATTTTATTTTTTGTTAAATTAAAAACAAGTTTATCATTTAATAAAATTCTCAATGAAACAATCTTTAGGAAAAAATAATGGCATACTATATATATATTACTTTTTAAACATTTTTTATGAAAAATATTCTTTGATACACTTAAATTTTTTACCTTTATTTTGACACTAAATTTTATATCATTTTATCTTTGTAATGTAAAAGTGTCGTAACTATTTTTTATTTACCAAAAATGTTAATTTTGTGATCTATCAGAAATTATCTTTACATAATTATACCATAAAAAAATTAATAGAAACCCTAGTTTTATGAAGTTTTTTTATATAAACACTTATTTTTGTGATAGTTATAATGGATTGTGTGCAAGATACACTGACCTTGGAAGCGAGGTTGGTTTGGGAAGGGTCTTTGTTATCGCAGAACAGCCTGAACATGAAGTTGAAGGAAGCTTGGCTAAACACGTCGTTGAAACCTGCTTCCGTGTTCTTACACAGCTGATCTTCGATCTCTGCAAAGGATTCACGGAGACAGTTTCGAAAAAGTGGGAGAAAGGAGTCTTTTCGTCGGGCGAGAGCTCGGAGGAAGAAGTCCTTGATGAGTTAGTGGTTGGGCTCCGCCGTGTCGAGGTAGGCACAGACGCGGAAGCCGCCGGTGAACTTGGTGGAGGGCATGAAAGTGCCGTCGAGGACGTTGAACTTCTCGACTTTATTGTTATCGAACAGTACAGGAAAGGAGGCCCCGTCCAGCAGCGCAATGACACGAGGATCGGAGGAGATGAAGGGTCCCGGCGGCATGTTGGTGCGGATGACGGTGGAGTTGTGGCGGCTGATTCTGGAAGCGAAGAACTTGTCGCGGCCCTCGTGGTAGAAGTAGTTGTGGCGGTCGATTATGGGTCCGAAGAATGGGAGGCCGTAGCTTCCGGGGATTTGTCTCAGCGGAAGGTGGTCGGAATCGGAGGAAGAAGACATGGTTGAAGAGAGAATGAGAGAGAGCAAGGAAGATTTTTTCGGTGTGGGAGTGAAGTAGTGTGTTTTGTTTCTTACAAGAGGGACCATGGGAGATGTTAGGTGGTGCGTGCTTGTGCAGATGAAAATGATTGCTATAATACATTGTTACAGGAGTTTGATGAAACCATTATCCCTAAAATATTGATTGAGAGAGAGAAGGAAAAATAAGTATTGTTTATCATTTTTCATGTTTTTTTTTTTTTATTGTTTATAGTACAAGATCTATGAAGATGATGCACCGAATCTTTTTTCCTATTATTTATATTCACTGTGTTCGCCACGAGGACACAAAGAAGGGGTGAAGATTAAGAAAGAAAGGACACAAAAATAGGTTGTGGAGTGGTAAACAAGTTCACGCGTGTTATTCTGGTCCCTCTGTACTTGGCATGATGTGGGTAGGAAATTTAAGTATAACCTAATTTGTGTTTTTGCATGTTATAATTATTGTAAAAAAGTTTATGCCAAAATTAGTTGTTATAATTTTGTAAATAATAGAAGAACTTTTTTTTATTATTAGTTCAAACATGTAATAGGCAAGAAGTATCCGTTTTAGGTTATGTAATAATGACTATTTGGTGATAAACTAATTTGTCATATTTTTTATTAGGACTATAATAAATAACTTAAAACTAGAGAAAAACAATTTAAAAGATGTATAAAATATAAGAATTTTGGAGTGTTTTAACCATTTACACTAAGTTAAAAAACACAAGACAAAAGTAGCAGAAAAATTGGATAAAAAACGTGGATATTACATAAGCAAATGAGTCTAAATCAAATTTCAGAGAGATGGTATACAGACAAACAAACAAAGAAATGATTAACAAATTCCTAAGCCATGATTTGACTTGAAAAGTTATTCATAAAAACATGTTCCTTTCATCTTTCTTTGTCAAACTTTCTTCTTTCTTTTACCACCAATCACTAATCGTCAAATTTGTATACGGGAAAACATTTCTAGGCTATACAACCTGAGACTAGAAAAACATTACATAACTAAGATTTAAACTATTTTCTCTTTCAGGATACAAAGGTCAAGGTTTCTATCACTTTATAGCTTAAATTTATTAAGATAAAATCGATTAAGTAAATCTTGTTTTTTTAAAGTTTGATGAAGATTTGAAACAAAATAGTGTTTAATAATTTAAGAGAAAAGATAAGAAGTGATTAAGTGTTTTATACGTAATATATCCTAGATATAATATATTCTAAGACCGTTTATGATTCATGTAACTAGCCTTAAACGTAATATATCATAAATTATTTTATGTTACTCAAAACAGACATCACTAAACAATAATATATATATCATACCTAAACGCTTATGATCATTTAATGTTTTAATGTATGTACATTATAATAATCTTTTGTGTCATGACTAAATGCTTATGATCATTTAATGCTTTAATGTATATAGATTCTAGAACTCTTTTGTATATTTAAGAAATGTTTCATAGATGCCTTTTGTTTGTATCATTCTTGTACAACATAGCTTCTCTCTCTAAACTCTTTCTCTTGAGACTTATGTTTGAAAATTTTATTTATAAGTTTTGAGAATATTACGAAGAAACAACGAATACCACGCACCATCCAATTTCTCCAATTTTTGTTTTTCAATATCTTTACAGCTTAAAAAAACTTATAAATTCATTTGAAAATTGCCACGCCAAATTTGTCAAAATTGAGAAAAAAAATATGTTAAAATATTATTTTCCTTATTATAAATACCATAATCTTCAATTAGATAAGAATAAGTTGATAAAACAGTTATACTTAAATATGTATTTTAACCGTTAAACTCAACTTATTAATTATAATCGATTCTTCTCATTTCTCATAATGATCTATATATAAATTTTTAAAAAATAGTTTTGACTCATAATTTATTTTCTTTTAATCTAATGGCTCTACTTAATAAAACTGTTTTTTTAAAAAATAAAAGAGAAAGATGAAAAAATTTTCATAAGAAAAGAAAAAAGAATAACACCAATTAAATGGTCAAGATTAAAAAAGACAAACCTTTTAATAGTAGCTATACAATCATTTCTCACAATAAAATAAGTTATAGATTAATACTAAAAGGTAATCATAATACATAATTAAAGAGAATCCAAGAGATCCATCTTTATATTCATTAGCTTTGTACTTTACATCATATTACAAGTACTCCACGTAGTAATTTATTGAGGTAAACACTGGGCCATTTCCAAGTTTCCTATTAAAACATGCTAGAATTACTTGATGCTGCTCTCTAGAAACTATCGAATTGAAATGACATTGCATATAACTTACTAAATTTTCTTGTTATATGAACGTGTTGCCCTTTTTTGATGACAATAAAATGTTGTAAATTTGAATAAATGAAATATGTAGAAATGGAATAGATCTTCAACTAAAGTCTTTAAATGGAATAGATAAATCCAGATACCGGATTGGTACAAATACAGGAATAAGATCGAGGCAGCGTGTACCTCCCTATATTTTTTCTTCTACCCTTATATAAGAGTTCGCCAATTTTAAGTTATACAATCAAAAAATAAAAAATCGGTAAATAATTTCTGAAATATACCAATCAAAAACAATTTTTTTTTTTGTAAAAAAAAAAACTTCAGTGTTGTACCAGAAATTAAAAAAGACTTCCAGATTCTACAATTTGAAAACTAAATACCAAATTATGTAATCCGAAAACTATTTTTCTCTTTAACATTGTCTAACTTTCGGAAGACATGTTTAACTTCCAAATTACACAATCCAGATAGGACAATATAGGGTGGAAGAAAAAACATAAGGAGGCGCAAAAAGAAACTGCCTGACATCAATCATGATCTGATTCAGTTCATTTCATTAGTGTTGTCAGTCGCATGTACTAAAAATAACTAGTTAAACTTAGAACAAGTGATACATCATGATATTATTGTGCTCTCTATATAAAGTGAAGATTACTTTTTTAGTTAGTGAGATCACCAGCTCGTGTCAACGACTAAAATTCATTTTAATAATAATTCAAAAGGAGAATAAACAGCAAGTTTATGATTGGTTAGTAAGTACAAAGAACCTAATTTTTATATTACTTGGAGGTTCAACATGAAAACAATTAAACAAAACATATTCAAATTCAATTATGCTAACAGGTATAAAATAAAAACTGCACTGATATAGGACATCTATGCAGGATTGGTAAAAATCTGAGATAAAAAAGTGGATTAACAGAAAAGGTGGCAATTGGAGAAAATTTACATAAAATAGAGCTGATATCAGAGAACATTCCAATAGGCAGTGGTACAATTGAAAAAAAAAACATTTCAAACAAATTTCATGAAATTTGCCAAACTTGAAGAAACTATATTCAAACATTTTCTTCAGTTTTCCTCACCAAAAACGATTCTATGATCAAGCATATCTATCATTACATTTAAACAACACCAATTGAATAACCAAATATTAAGGGGCTAGGAGCAAAGTAGTAAGATAAACCGAACTCTAACTAGGCTCAGACTGAAGCATTTTTCATGACATTTGCTAAGCTTCAAGACACTACACTCGAACATTTTGTATTACTCTATCAAACCAATAATCACTCAAAACATCCTACGGATCCATCAAACCCAACACCACCTACGATCTGTTCCGAGAAAATTATCCTAAGCATTCTACACAGGAAGAAACAAATAAGTTTCTCTATGACTTAAAATTAACTTATCCATGAAATAATGTCTAGAAACTCTTTTTTATGTCTTCTGTTATTTTAACTTATTTATAAGTCAATGTTAATTTATAAAAAAAAAATTATTTTCTATTTTTCCTTCTTATTTTCTTCTACTAAAAGTGTTTATAAATGTTACAAAAAATTGTGTATATAACGAAATTTATTCAAAGAAACCCTTATTTGTAATATCTCTAATCTATGATTGTACATGTAAGTCTGTCTGGCCAGAACTAGATTTTCAACCTGCTCAAGCAGTGCAGAGTGATTCGTGGGATATATTGCCAAGAAACACTAGTTGAACTTCCAAATCCAATAAATTACACGTGACTTAAACAAAACAATCGAATTGCAGTGAACATTATTTTTTTTTTCTTACAAGATTAACAGTAAAAACACAACAACACAGAAAACAAAAAGTGTTTACTTTTTCTTTTTACCGGCAATGGCAACCTTCTTACCCTTCAAGGTCCTGCAATTGTTCTTGGTTCGCTGGCCTCTGCACGGAAGCCCCTGAATATGCCTTATTCCTCTGTAGCACTGAATGTCCTTCAGTCTCTTTATATTAATCGCGTTGAATCGTCTCTGAGGCCCCCAACGACATCGAAATTCACAGTCAGTTACAATTCACAAAGAAACTCACAGAAAAATTAAAACAAAAATGTAATAACAGTATCTTTACTTACCAAGTCTCCTTCAATCATGTATTTGGAGACTTCGTCCCTGAGAGTGATGAGTTCCTCCTCAGTGAGCTCCTTTGTCATTTTGTTATCCATGCTTATATCACACAGGATCTGTCGCGCTCTGCTCCTTCCAACTCCATGAATGTACTGCAGCGAGTACTCGATTCGCTTGTTGTTCGGAATCTCCACACCGCCAACACGAGCGCACTTGATGGTCAATCCTTGAACCTGCACATACACCTCCAGTTCATGTTTTACTGTGCCAAACACGAAACCCTAATTGTGAATGGTTACCTTTGGAGGACTCAGAATGTTAATGGAGACAGCATTGGAGAAGCGAGAATTGGAGATTATAGCGAGTGAGGATGCCACGGGCATTGCCAGCGTTTGCGCCATCTTCAGTTCTTTTTTCTCTGCAAATTATGCACCATAGCCAAAGCCATAGCCTTATCTATTTCCTCCACAACCAATGCCTTCATTTCTAATCCCGTCTCAGCCCAATTAGCAAGTCTTAAAAATGGGCTTCTTTATATCTCCAGGCCCGTATATTTTTAACATAAGCTACTGCACTTCCACAATTATTAACTGCACCCTTTCACAACTTGCATTTATCAAAATATAATACTTATAAAATTCATTATTTATTTATTTCTTGTGAAAATGTATATGTTTCCTACAAAATTTTTGTGAAAATGGATATCAATATTCAAAAGTTGTGAAAAATATCCACGAAAAATTTATGACGTTTTCTACAAAAATAAAAATTCGTGGAAAATTACCCACAATATGTTGAAATCTTTTCCACGAAATTTGTTTGTCAAAAATTGCTCACAGAAATTAAAAATCCGTGAAATTTTTTTCGTAAGAGCATATTATCCACAAATTTCATTTCGTAAAAAATTCGTAGAAATAACATTATCCAAGAATTTTGAATGGTTCTCACGAACTTTAATTAATGAAAATTTTGATTTTCTTATAGTTAATTTTTATGCCAGTAATTAATTTTTCGAACCCATTGTATCTTTATTATGTGCACACAAATTGCATCACATGATTCCATTTTATGTTTTGTTGAATAAAATTGGTTTTAAGAAAAACCTAACAATCGTTCATCTATAAAAAAAAGAAGGATATTATATGTATATGAAATTTTTGCACCTGTGTCTTTTCTAACTCTTCTCAATTGTTCATGTTTTCTGTCAAATGATTTCTACCTCATCTCATTCTTAGTTTACAATTAAAAAATAAATAAACACTTGATATTCATTAGTAACAAGTTACTTCTTATTTATTTAGAGTATATAAATAAATGCAAACTTCACCTTATAATCTTTACGCTTTATATATATATATATATATATATATATATATATATATATATATTTTAT